ACTTTTCATCTTTGGAGCTTCCAAAAAATTACGGAAACATGAAAAGTCACATGGAAAATTGGAAGGTCAAACACTATTAACATAAATATAATGATTCTTTCATTGTCTTTATAATATATAACTAACAATTTATAATAATTAAAATATTATCATTTAATATTTAATTAATTAAATGTTTAATTTAGCCTAGGGGTAAAATGGTAATCTAACTTTTCATCTTTGGAGCTTCCCACTTTTAGTAATAAATGATATGATGATTTATTATTGTTTGCGATAATCTATCCTAATAGTTTATTTATTTTATTTTGATTATCTCATTATTTTGTTGTTGGTTTTTCCCCCGTAGGATATACTTTCCATTGTTTCCTTGTTACTTACTTTATTTTCTACATTGTCTCCTTCTTCTTTAAATTTCAAGTAAGTTAGTCAAATTGAGTGATTTTGCTAGTTTTTAGAAATTGGAGAGGGAGCATATAAACCATATTTAGAAAAAGTATATCTAAATTTAAAATATTCTTTGAAAAATATATGGTCGAACACAACTCCAATTCCTACTTTTAAAAAATAAATAATGTATTTGATTTTCATGACCAAACATCCACTTAATTTGCATAAAGATAATGTATCTTAGTAAAATTGTCGAGTGAGCATTTGTGAAATTACACCGTAAATAGCGCTTACATATGTTTCTTATGGGACTCCTGAAATGTGAAACTATTAACACTTCAATTTGCTCAATTTTGAGTTAAGTAGGTAATGTACTGATCATCTTAAGGTCCAAAATAGTCTTTATTGCACACTATTTTGAAAAGCAAAAAAAGGAAGAACAATTATGGGTATTCTATTCAAGATTTTGTATGGGGTAAAACTAATTAGGTAATCAACAATCAGTATTTCATTTGCCGCCAAGAAATATTCAAAGTAGTTTGCTTTAGACTAACAAATTCCAAAAGAATTGTGTTAGTGTTGCTCAATTTCTGCACCCTGCAGGTATAGTCTTGCAGCATGGATCACTATGCCCGGTAAATGGAACAAGACGGTGAATGTGCAGTTGACGAAGTTAATATCTCCAAAGTTAGCATCGTACAATATTTCTTGGCTATATATCACAAGGTATCCCATAAACAATATCTGCACAGTGTATCTACAACAAGCAGGATACAACAAATCAGACGTATTATTCATTCAAACTAGAGTCAGTGAGTTCAAAATGAGTACATTGTATGCATACAACTGCTTACCGTCATCATCCAAAGAGCTGTGTGGCCATCCAAGAGAATGAATGAAAGCAATTCCGGAGATCATTAGAACCAAGCAATATGGCAGGCAACCGATATAGATTTTGCTCCGTTCCCTTGTTGTGATAGCTTTATACAAGAAACTTCCAAAGCCAATTGTTGTACCAGCCAAAAGTCTGATAACATAGCTGGAGAACAAGCATGGAATGTTAAATTGGAAAAACAATTTGGAGGCTCCACCTTGTCCAGGATGTGCAAGCAATGATTTCAGGACTGACACCAATCAACCTCGAGCCCAAAACCAATTTTAGATACGTGACACAACTCAAGTACCGTCTTTTAATCTTGGTTAACAAAAAATACTTTTATAAGTTGAGGATGATCAACTTATGACTTTTGATTGATCATGACTCTTGAGTCTATCAAATGAGTAGATAAATCAAAATGTACTATTTTTGAAACTAAGGAGTCATGTTAGTATGTCAAAATAAAATGGTAAGTGCTAGTAGGAAACAAAAGAGATATTTTCTATGATACCAAAAATAGTTTTTACAACTTTGGTGTGATAAAGTATAATTATTGAGTGAGCATTTGTAAAATTACACCCTATATAGCTCTTACATATGGTTCTTATATAACAGTTCAACTTTGAGTTAAGTAGGTAAAGTACTGATCATCTTAAAGTCCAAATAGTCTTTATTGCACTATTTCTGTACAAATTCCAAATTCAATCAGTAAAATGTAGACACAAAGGAATATTTGTTCATCATTTACAGTAAGCTGCACATTCTACTCTCTAGACTTCCAAACCGCATCAGCTTCAATTGTGTTCGTGTAGCTCGATTTCTTTACCCTGCAGGTATAGTCTTGCAGAATAGATCACTATGGCCGGTAAATGGAACAAGACGGTGAACACGCAGTTGAGGAAGTTAATATTTCCCAAGTTAGCATCGTACAGCATCACTTGGCTATATATCATAAGGTACACCATGAACACCATTGGCAAATTGTTTATCTACACAAGCAGTAATTCAACAAGTCAGTTATATTATTCATTCAAACTAGAGGTCAGCAAGTTCAAAATGACTACATTGTATGCATACAACTACTTACCACTGTGAACCAGAAAGTTGTGTGCATGTCCAAGTGAATGAAAGCAGTTCCGGACATCATTAGAATATAACAAGATTTCAGGACACCGAAGTTGATTTTACTCCTTTCCGCTGTTATGATGGCTCTATACAAGAAATGTCCAGTACTAATTGTTGTAGCAGCCCAAAGTCTGAGAACATAGCTGGAAAACAAGCATGGAATGTTAAGATTATCAGAATATTTTTCAAATAAGGAACAGAGAACAACAAGGACTAATCAACTACACATATAGAAGGAGCAGAGGAGTAGCAAATGTTCTATAACATATATATTAGACAAGAATGCACAAATTCTAGTAGTCACTTTTAGCAAACTGTGCAAGATTGATACAAAACGCGATGTTTTATGTCATATTCATCCACTCCAATGCCATTGTCTTGTGAAAGAGAACAACACATTCAGGCACGAAATCTCACAAGTCCTTACTGCAGAATTAAGATTTCCAGATATCTAAACAATGTTTTGAGTCTTACTCTTGCTTGATTTTTAAGAGATAAATGGTAGAAACGCTAACAGAAGCACCGAATGAATAAGCAACCAACATCTTGAGTAAGAACCTCATGTTCTGCATAAGATAGAAGATTTACGTTATAAGTTAGACAGAAGACGACATCAAGAATAATTCAACAAATACTGTACATACCAGTCTCCCTGGTGGAGTAAAGTAAATCCAGAATAAACTTGCTACATAAGAAAGGACTGTAAATTTTCCCCCGGCTACCGAGATCCATGCCATGATGGATCCAAAAGTAGAGCTCAACATGGCACAGAAGACAGTTAGATACACCTATATTTTAAGCAAAAAACTAATCAGTCGCAGGAAAAGGGGGAATCCAATCAAAAATGCATGTTTTCCAGCTAACACAACAACTGTTCAAAATTTTAACTTTGATAAATCAAGATAAGTGAAATTATTATCTTAATTTCTCAATCGTCAAATACTTGGTGTAAAATTCAACACAAGAACTACTCCAGTGGCTTTGAAACTCCAATAATTTTATCAAACGGCATAAGCAAGTGAAAAAGAAAAGCGAAAAATCGGCAAACATCAAAAACTTGAGAGAATCAAAATTCATCAATCATAAAAAGTAGAATGTTGCCTTATTCTTACTGAACGGTAAGAAACTGTACCAATACCTAAAAATCTTGTGAGAATCATGAAGATTAGATTTAAGAATTGGGGATTTAGCATCGGCAATTGCGTATTTCAGTAAAGAAAAATCTCATAATAATTCCATGAAATTACAACAATTCAATGATGAATCGTACCTGCTTATAGGTTCTGTGCAATTGATGGGGAATTTCATCGAAATTCATCATGTCATCTCTCTTCCGATTCATCTTCTTCTTCTTCTTTCAGAGAAAAAAAGTGTTGCTAGCTAAGTTCGTTACAATGATTCCTCTGGCCGTTATTTCTTGAAGGATATTTATGGTTTTACCCCTCACTCTTGGAAATAAGACGGGGTAATTTCGTCTCCATGCTTAGATTCTTGGCGGGAAATAACTTTTATAGGGAATTTCTATTTTCTTTTGATTTTTCATAAATTAATTGCATTGCTTCTATTCTATCTAATTTCCAAAATGTGAAACTATTGATTTAGGCTCATATCAATAGTTATTTAAGAATCTGGGCTTTTGATGCCCTCTGATTTTAGGATCGGGCTTCTTTGACACCTCCACTCGCTATAACAATTATTTTGAAATAACTCACATAATGTGTGTGGCATTACTTCGTTTTAACTAATCACATCCTTCAACTAGTAGAAATATCCTTACTTGAAACTTTTAGATGTGCCTGTGTTGTCATCGTTGGTGGTCAATCATGACGGGAAAAAAAAGTTTCATATGCTAAGGGGTTCCATCTTCGAGAGGATCCGATTGATATCTTCATCTCTTTGCTCTTTGACATGCGATTCATGGTTCCATTGCTCGATCTATGAAGCCCCAAACACTGTTATTCCTTTCTTCCTTGGATCGATGATAGGCACACATTAAACACTGGTATTTAGTGTTATTCAAATACTAAATATTCTTTGCAAAAAGTATGACCAAACACAACTTCAATTTTATTAATTTTAAATAAAATGAATAATATTTGGTTTTCATGACCAAACGTCCCCTTAGTTTGCCTAAATACAATGGGAAGTGCTTGGAGGAAACAAACGTCCACAAATTGTTGAGCGACCATTTGTGAAAATTACACCATAAATAGCTCTTAAGCATTTGTGAAATTCTTTATGTTCAACTTTGAGTTAAGTAGGTAATGAACTGATCATCTTAAAGTCCAAATAGTCTTTATTGCACTATTTCTGTACAAATTCCAAATTCAATCAGTAAAATGTAGACACAAAGGAATATTTGTTCATCATTTACAATAAGTTGCACATTTTACTCTCTATTATTCTATACTTCCAAGCTGCATCAGCTTTAATTCTCTTCTTGTTGCTCACCCTGCAGGTATAGTCTTGTAGCATGGATCATTATGCCCGGAAAATGGAAGAAGACGTTGAATGTGCAGTTAACGTAGTCAATATCTCCAAAGTCAGCATTGTACAGTATTTCTTGGCTATATATCACAAGGTATCCCATGAACAATATCAGCACACTGTGTATCTACAACAAGCAGTATTCAACAAGTCAGACATGTTATTCATTCAAACTTGAGTTACATTGTATGCATACAACTGCTTACCACTATCATCCGGAGAGTTGTATCTGTTTCCAAAAGAAAGAAAGTAATTATGGAGAACACTATAACAACGCAATATTTCAGGCAACCGGTGTAGATTTCTCTCCTATCCTTTGTTGTGATGGCTTGATACAACAAATTTCCAGTGCCAATTGTTATACCTACCAAAAGTCTAAGAACAAACCTGGAGAACAACTAAATGTCATTTTCATATTAGAAAACTCGAACAACAGATATCTAAACGATGTTTAGTATCTTTTAAGTCTTACCGTTGCTCAACTTTGAAGAGATAATTGAAAATGAAGCCAACAGAAGAACCGAAAGAATAGGCAGTCAACATCGAGATTATGATCCTTGTGTTCTGCGTAAGACAGAAGATTTACATTATAAGAAACTACTTCAAGAATAATTCAACAAAATCTACGAATCATTGATCATGTACGTACCACTCTCTCTGGTGGAGTAAGGCAAAGCAAGATTAAATCTGCTACATAAGAAAGGACTGCATATTTCCCCCCAGCTATCGAGATCCATTGCAAAGTGGATCCACAAGTAATGCTCAACATGGCACAGAAGAGACTAAGATACACCTATATTTTCAGCAAAAACAAATCAATCTTCTGAACTATAAGAAACTGAAATTCATTATTGGTAATACCTAAAAATCTTCTGAGAATCGAAATTGATGAACCATGACGATATAAGAATTGGGGATTTAGTATGATCATGTTGTAATCAGCTATTACATAGTACTAAACAAGATTACAATAAAGAAAAATCGAACAATAATTTCATGAATTACAACTTCTTTATTCTAATGTTCGCGATCAAGTAGAAGGAAAGAAAATTGAAAGTGTTATGATGAATGTATGTACCATCTTCAAGGTTGAGTGAACTTCGTCGGAAATTTCATCCATATTCATCACGTCGTCTCTGTTCCAATTCCTATTGAAGTACCATTTTACACCATTAATCACCTGATCTTTCATCTCTGAGAAATTCATCTTCTTCTTTGTTTTCTCTGTTTTTTCTTTTGCAGAGAGAACAAAAATGAACTCTGTTTTTATACAGAGAAGTGTTTTTGCTAAAGTTGTTACTAACCGTTATTCCTTTTTGGAATATTTACGATTTTACCTTTTAGTTTTAAGCTGAGTCTTGGAAATAAGTGGGGGCAGTTTCGTCTCCACGCTCAGGTTGTTGGCGGGAACGTTTAGGACCAACTTTTGTGGGAATTAGAGAATTATAAGGGAGTAGTGAATGTAATATCTCAACTCACAAGGTCTCGAAAATTATGCTTTAAAATTGTTATTTTTATTAGTATTGATACGAGATGTTGAATTTTCTTGATTTATTCGTATAAAATTCCGACTCCTCCATTTATATTATCGCATTGCTTCACTCAAAATATAAATAAAATTGTTTGTCGTCTACCTAATGTAATCTAATTTCCAAAATGTGAAACTATTGATTTAGAAATAACTAACATTGTAAATTTTAGATTTAACTCCTACATTACATATTTAGAACTCTCGCCTTAAACGTTGTTGTTAGTGATGCTTTAGCTTTAAAACGTGTAGGGATGACAATGGGGCGGGACGGGTTAGAGCTTTTGCGGGGCATACACAAAAGTTTTTCTTTTTTAATAAATTTGAATAGAAAGTATCTAATAAGAAGAATTTATCATTTGTTAAGGTGTTAAATTGAAACAAGTTATAGTTCAAATATTTAAATGAAGTCAAACTCCAGAGTCTTTATTGTACAAAATATTCAAATTCTATACACAAAAGAATATTTGTTCATCATTTACAGTATGGTGTACATTCTACTCTCTCTATTTATTCTAATATTCCAAGGTGCATCAGCTTTAATTGTGTGCATGTTGCTCAATTTCTGCATCCTGCTGGTATAGTGTTGCAGCATGGACCACTATGCCCGGTAAATGGTAGAAGGCGGTGAACATGCAGTTGACGAAGTTTATATCTCCAAAGTTAGCATCGTACAATATGTCTTGGCTATATATCACAAGGAACGCCATGAAGAATGTCTCCTGAGTGTGTATCTATCAAAAAATCCATTCATTAGAAAGAGGCGAGTTCAAAATGACTGTGATTACATTGTATGTGTATCACCCAAAGATCTGTATTGTTGCTGTCCAAGAGAATGGAAGCAATTGCGGAGATCATTAGAACAAAGCAATATTGCTTGATCCTTTCCCTTGTCGTGGTGGTTCTATACAAGAAATTTCCAGAGCCAATTGTTGCACCTGACAAAAGTCTGAGAACATAGCTGGGGAACAAACATGAAATGTTATGATTATCAGAATGACTTTTTGCAAACTGCACAACAATGATACAAAACGTGATATGAACATAGAGAACTTGAACAACAGATATCTAATCAATGTTTAGTATCTTTTGAGTCCTACCGTTGCTCGATTTTGTAGAGATAATTGGTAAAACCGCTAATAGAAGCACTGAATGAATAGGCAGCCAACATCAAGAGTAAGACTTTCGTCTTCTGCATAAGACAGAAGATTTACGTTATAAGAAGCTACTTCAACAAAATATACGAGTCATTGATCACATATGTACCAGTCTCCTTGGTGGAGTAAAGTAAATCAAGATTAAACTTGCTACATAAGAAAGGACTGTGAATTTCCCCTCGGCTACCGAGATCCATTGCATGAAGGATCCAAAAGTAGAGCTCAACATGGCATAGAAGAGAGTAAGATACACCTATACAGCAAAAACCAATCAATCACAGGAAGCAAAAATACATGTGTTTTCACAAGAAGCCGAAATCTGAAAATGCATGTAAAAAATTAATTAAATCGCCCGTCTCCAATTTATTTGAAAATGCTTGACACCATTCAATCCTTAATATTTTCTTGCATAAATGAAGACTTCTGTGAACTTCTTCGGGAATTTAAAATCTCACAGTAATTTCATGAATTACAACATTTTTATTCTTACGTTCGTGATTAACTACAAGGAAATGGAAAAAATCAAAGTGTTAGGATGAATGTACAACGGTCTTCAATCTTCTGTGAACTTCATAAGGAATTTCATCCACCATATCTGAGAAATTCATCTTCTGCTTCTTTTTTTCTTTTATTTTTTTGCAGAAAGAAGGAAAACTGAGCTCTGTTTATAGTCTGTTATACATACAGAGAGCAGTGGCCTTGCTAAGCTGTTATGAACCGTTATTCCTATTGGGATATTTACGTTTTTACCCTTGAATAACTGAGTTTTGAGTATAAGACAGGAGTAATTTCGTCTCCAGGCTCAGGTCATTGGCGGGAAGTTTTTGGAATACCTTGTTGGACAATTCTTTGATGTGAATTGAATGTCGTCCTGCAGATTGTGATTTACTGGTGACTTTGGAATATCGTGGTAAATCAAGGTATGTTGAAATTTACTATCTCTTAAGAAAAATCTCCAAACAAATATCATTAAATCAAATATTGGCTTCAGACGGCTTTAGTTTATCAGAATTATCGCCATGAAATTACACATGTCAATGTAGGTGTGGCTATTACCTAGTGGTAAGGAACTATGATAGTTTAACCCCGACATGTAGGTACTACTATGCTAATAATATTAGTATGACGGAGTCAATTCATACAACACTGTATGTGATAACTCATAGAAGCTCATTTCCTGTTACCGAGGGAACTCAATGCCCTCAACAGTGTTATTGCAAAAGTGAGTGAGCAATTCCAGAGATCGGAGGTCCAAATCATCTAAATTGGGGAACTTGATTACTTCATGTGTCCTCCGAGAGATCTTCTCTTCCTCTTCCTCTTCCTCATCATCAGAGCAAGGATACTATCCAACTCACTCCAGCCAAAGACATACTGTAGACCACGACAACGGCTTTGTTACCATTAAAGGACAATATCAGCTTGCACCTTGCCTTGATGTATCATTTATCGCAACTCTTAATCATCTACTCTTTCAGGTGGAAGGCCTCACGGCAAAAGCATTTTCTGCACAAGCACAAGCAACAGATGGAAAAAATGTATTCAATAGATTAAGCACTAGAGAAATAAAACTGTCGGTGTAAGCAAGCAATATCTCGATTATTACATTACTGTGTTGGAATAAAATATTATGGTCGATTTAATCTCCGCTTGCAAAATAATAAAATAGCTACTTAACCATTTATTTTTGGTGAATGCAATTCTCTTGACACATATATACATTATCTCAATAGTAACATACTTAAATGAAAATCTTCATAAGGATACCATCATTGTATAATTAACATATGTATAAATCGTTTTTGATTCAAAATTAAGAGATCACATTATGATTAGAGATTGCTCTAAGCCCTACAGAGAGAGGGATCAGGCTCCACATGTATTTCTTTAAGTCATCAACTATGCTAAATACATATATATATATATACTATTTGAGATATGCTAATCAGCTTTCAAGCTGTTAGTCTTCACTTCAGTAGTTGAGGTTTGTTGGAGTCGCACACCCAAGATGAAAAAAGGGATGAGTAGTAAGCTTCATTATATATGTAAGTTTCTGAAATTCATCCATAGTAGAGGCTCGTCTCCTGTTGCGTTATTATTATTAGTCTCAGGGAGGCTTGTAATAATACTGCTTGATTCTCTCAAGTAGGAGTTATGAGGATAATAGAAACTAGTTGTTGTAAATAAGTGCTCCAAAGAAACCAATGTTTTGAGTCCTGCATCACCAAAAGGCCGCTGGATCAACTCATGAATCATCTTCTTATTAACATAGTTTGTGATGAATGAATGATTAAGTAGCATCTCCGCATTCCATCTCGAATTATGATCTCTGTCCAAACACTTACTCAAAAAGTCCTTTGCATCATTAGATATCTTATCTGGTATCTCTAGTTTTTCATGTGCAATCTTCAATTTTAATTCATTCTTATTTTTACATTCTGACCATACCCGCTTTCTCGTGAGCATTTCTACAAGTATGCATCCAAATGCCCAAATATCAACAGCTTTATCTTGAATCCCACACACTACAGATTCCGGTGCTGCATATAGTAGAGTCCCTCTGCGGCGACGACACTTCTTCACTGATGTGTCCCAACATGTGTTGGTTTCAGATCTCAACGATAGCCCAAAATCAGCCAATTTCACATTTGCAAGGCCATGTTGTCCGCCAGGAAAAACAAGTATATAAGCTGGTTTCAGATCGCAATGGATAAATCCTTTACGATGAACATGACAAATCCCGACTAAGATTTGAAAAGCATAGTACGCAGCCTCTGATTCTCCGAGCACCGTCTTCGACTTATGAATTAAGTCATGCAAAGTTCCACCAGCAGCATACTCCAGCAAAAGGTTATAAGTTTTTTTACCGTTTTCGATGCTTACATCTTCTCCGAAGCACTTAATTACGTAGTCCGACCCTCTCAGTGCATGCAATATTTGTCCTTCTACTCGGAGGGAAGACGAGCGATTATCTTCGGCTGATTTGACAGCAGCAAATAATGTATAGTAATCGGTTAATGGCGTGGCAAGAGACACCGTACCATAAGAACCCCTGCCCAACAACTTAAGCTTTTTCCAAGACATACTTAATTTATTGATGAATGAGTTTTTCTTTTGATGCTTTAATGGCTTCTCAGATTTTACGTATTGTATTTATAATGCTTATTTGTTTTCCTAATCTTATTCTATTTGGGATTAAATTTATTTAGGCTTTTCTCTTTCCCTTTCCAATTCTACTTGGGAATGTAAATTCTGCTATACAGAGGAAAAGGAGTTCGTTGTTAAGTTCGCTATTCCTTGAAGGATATTTATGGTTTTACCCTTTGGTTATACGCCAAATCTTGGAAACAACAGGGGTAATTTCGTCTTTGGGCTCAGATTGTTGGCGGGAAGTTTTAGAAATAACTATTGTGGGAAGTTTCTTATTTTCCTTTCCTCTTTTATTTTTATAAATTAATCCATCTCTTCTATTTAAATTAATTTAATTTCCAATCTGTGAAACTATTGATTTAGCTAGGCTTCT